TCCCTGACTCTAATTGTGTATTAAGCAAATTGACAAAAGAGGAATTAATTGGTAGAACTGTGGATTTTAACCAGTACTAACACTATATTGAAGCAGGCACAGGGAGACTAGGGGTCTTAGCACACCTCTGTTGTCGCTTGGCTTCCCTGGACTGGAGGCTAGAGGTTGGTTTACGCTTGACGCGTCCACGAGGTCCGCACGACTCTGCGCGGTGAAATTGCGTCATTCTAATGCCCACGCCCCTCCACCGCGCCTTCGCACAGCCCAAAATTTCCGCAACGCGCATCTAGGAAAATTTCTAACCACGCGGACGGTCAGACGCGGAAAATCATGGCGGACTGGCAAGAACTAGTATGGCAGAGGTTCGTAAATACAGACATTTGTATGATTCAGCTCTCAGAGATCACCTTCATCAACATGTTGTTAATAATTTTTGGAGAGAAATAGCTCGCACTGTCGGAAAAGACAAGGACACTGTTAAAAATGCTGGAATGCCATGTTGTAAAGAGTAATTTCTACTTCTACTATGGTGTAGTGTTGGATGCATGCTGTAGAGCTCCATGCTGCCCCCTACAGTTTGGGAGAATATTGGCTCACCGCAGAGACAAGCCGCATGAACCATAAATGCTGCGAGTTGTGAAGCGCGTTCCATCCGCGAGCCGCATCACCAAGTGGAAAGTGAATGTGTCAAGCATAAACCAAGCTTAGAAGGGAGATCTGGCCGTCTGGTTGGGGTCTGGGGTGGTGGGTTGCTTTGCTCAGTGTTGGGCGGGGGAGGCTGCTCATCAGCACCCCAGCAGAAAGAATCAAACTCTGGGAACCTGTAATGATTGTACCCCATGTGCAGCAGGACCAGGACCAGAGTGAATAGGGTGTGTATGGGGAGCATGAGTGGGTGTCCAGTGTGCATTTTTGTAAGTTTTTGGTTGTATGTGTGTGGGAGCATAAGGGAGGGAGTGTGTGATTGTGTCTGTGTATGACTGTATATTTCAGGTGGGACCTTTGACTCCTCCCTTCTCCTGGGACTTCTTTTGATGATATAGATCTTTGTCTCCCCTCCCCCTGCCACACCTGGTGTGAAGTGCAGTACCTTGGTCTGCCTGAGGATTCGTGGCTCCCGGGTCAGGGGGTTTAAAATTTTTTGGCATCTGCCTGATCAATCCAGGTGGCTGCCTGGTGGGGTCTGGGTCCCTGGGCTCTGCTGGGTCCCTGGCAGGGGTGGCCGCCCCTGGGTCCCGGGTTGCTGGGTCCCAGGCTCGGCCAGCTGGGGGGTGGGGGGGTGGGAGGCTGCGGGCGGGCCTGCGGGTCTGCCGCTGACATCTCCCGGGACTCTGCTGGCTGCTGGTTGTGACCCCCCGGGGCAATCCTCTGCGCCTCTCGAGGGGGGCAGGGGCTTTTCTGGTCGCAGTCTCCTTGGGGTCCCTATGCTCTGGGACAGCTCCTGGATCTCTGGGACTTGGAGCTCCCTCCATCTCCTGCACATCTTTAGGGGTCAGATCTGTGGCCCCTCACACTCTCTATTGGACGCTCCTATAGAGAAACCTTACATAAACAAGCGCGTGTACACACACTGGTGCTCACACACTGGTGCTCACATGGTGCTCTCAAATGTATGGGCTTGGGCACGTTCAACACTTGCCTTAAGGCTGTGGTTGACACTAAATGCACTCAGATTTATTTTACATTTTTTCATCAAGTTGACGCAGTGATGGCTTGCTCCTTTTGTATTGTTGTGTCCCTTTTCTGCAGGTCTAGAAGCAGACACTTGTTCATCATTGATTGTTTATTTTTGTGCAACACCACCACCTTTTGTCTCTTCCTTTCTCTTTCACCTCTGTCTTCGTGTCCGGTCAAAATTACAAAGCATTCAAAAATCAATAACAATAAAGTTTTAAGTAACAGGCATGGCATTAAAAGCAGAAGCTTTGATGCTCCACCTGAAAGTAAATCTGTAAGGCTTGTCACCAGCATTCAGACATTAATTCTGTTTGCTTCACAGCCAGACAGGACATGGAAAAAAATAAAATAAATAAATAAAAAAGGGATGAGGACTGAATTTGGTACGTTTTAAGGCACCGACTGAATTCCATAGTACCGACTGAGCACCGATTCACGTCATATGAAACGGTGCCTTGTTTTGGTACTTGTTCTTCATAACGAGAATTTGCAAGACAGCGATTTGCCAAGATAGACAGCAGTGCCAGTGGTGCAAGAGCATAATGTTGTCCGTCACTGTGGGCGAGCTGTAAACAAACCAGCATGGCAGAGAGAAAGCGCTCTAAAGTTTGGCTTCACTTCACTAAATGTGATGGGTTATTGCATGATGATGAAACCAGCGACAACAATCAAGTGTGAGATATAGCTTAATCTGCTCCAGCAACAAAATAAAGAGGTTAAGAAAACGTTAGCTTCAAATTAAACCGAAACAAACATCTTTGCTATGGACTGAGTATACAGTGTGTCCTCAGTCCTTTTGCCGTTCTTTTTCAAACTGTTGATTTTTCCTACTCGGAAGTAGGAATTTCTGAGAAAAAAGCGAATGCACAAATAGCTAACATACCAATCTAACGTTAAACAATTTACTCAGGGACGAAATTTTGATTTCAGAAGTGGGGGGGACACAGCAGGCTTGTGCGGATTTGGGGTGGGGGGTGTTATGTAAAGACCCCTTGACACGTCATGTGCCCATCTCAATAATTTTTCCATCCTCAATATATATATATATATATATATATATATATATATATATATATATATATATATATATATATATATATATATATATATATATGTATATCAAAGTTAAAAAATTTACAACTCTATTATTATTTTTTATTTATTATCATTATTGAAGTGCTGTTTTGGCTGTTGACAATGGATAGGCCATTGTATTTATTGTTTTGGGTATTTTTTTATTGTTTTTGGTGCAACATTTTCTAACAGGGAGTGAGATTCCTTTTTTATTTAATTTTTGTTTGTTATTTTTATTCATTTAGAAGTTCTGGTTCTGGACATTTCAATGTTAAATGAAGGTTTCTTTGTTGCATTTTAAAGGGTGTACTTGCATTATTATGATATATTAACATTATATTAGTGGTTATTTTGGTCTAGCTAATGTTGACAATATCGTTTATCATCAACAATTTGTTGGACAAAATATCGTCCAGCAAAATTTGTTACATTCCCAGGCCTAGTCAAAAGTATAAAAATTATTTATACATAAATGGTCCCTCCTGAGATCTGGCCGTTTGTTCATTTGCTGTGTTAGAGGACATGCTGAACTAATGTTTTACACATGATCATCACCCTAACATTTGAGTGTATAAAAACATATTAAATATGTTTTTCCCCTTAAAAGTGTTTAAACAGTTGTTGCATTTCAACACACAAAAAATAAATGGAAAAAATAAGATAAATCTAATGAAAAGTGTACATCTTTGACATTAAGCTTAAAAAAATCTGTTGACGATGATGATACTGTTCATTTTTCAGAGCTTTTTAATGTGAAAATATGCATTGCAATAGATAAGTTTACAATAAAGTTAAATGATAAAAGTTTGAAGTTACACTTCTACTACTACTACTACTAGTAATAATAATTATGATGATAATAGTAATAATAATAAAAATAATAATTATAATAATACGAATAAATTGTGTCTGAGGAGTCAGTTATGTGGAGGAGATGAGTTTGTAAAAGTTAGTTTTGAGTATGTTTGTGAAGGAGAAGGTGAGTCTGAGCTTAATGCAGGGGTGTCACATGTCCAACTTACGTTTTGACTTTGAAAGAAGTCTCTTATATCCACTTTTCGTTTTCTTGACATGCTGCCTCCTGGCTGTGCCTAACTACCAAAGACTCACAAATGAACACTTATTCAAATGTTATGTTATGTAATGGAAGCTGAGCTGAGCTCTGATATTACACAGCGTCTAGTTGACGATGTGACTCAGTACCGGTGTTCCCTAGCGGCTCCAAACTAGCAAAACAACGTGAGCACGTTCTGTTTACAACTTGAGTGACAGCAGCAACAGCCAATAATACGTTAGCAAGTATCAGCAGAGCCAATAGATTAGCTTTTGGGCGGGTCTAATAGTAAAGCGGTTTCCGTTTCGGTCCTAGTGCTCAACCAAATCCATTTAATGGAGCGTAATATTGTTTTTGGACGGAAAAAATTGCAGGGGACCAAAACTGCCTTTTGAAAAAGTGGGGGGGACATGTCCCACCCGTCCCCCCCCAAAATTACGTCCCAGAATTTACTTACCTTCCGGAGCAGATTAAGATGATGATGTCAGATTGATGTCGCTGGTTTCATTATCACCCAGTTGCCCATCCCATTTAGTGAAGTAGACCCAAACATTCGAGCGCTTCCTCTCTGCCATGCTACTTGCTCTGTATACAGCTCGCCAACAGTGACTGACGACATTACGCCCTTGCGTCAGCGCTGCTATCTGTCTTGGCAAATGTCTGTCTCGCAAGTTCTGATTATAAAGAACAGGTACTGAAGCAAGACACCATTCATATGATGATAATCGGTGCTCAGTCGTTACTGTGGAAATCGGTCGGTGCCTTGAACAGTAAGGAATTTGGTACCCATCCCTAACATATTCTATTCTAAATCACAAAACATTATAATTAAATAGAATGTGTTTTCTCTTTGACTTGATGTTATTATCAACCTTAAGTTTTTTAGTCACATCATGTATCTTCAAGCCAAACCACTGTCTAACATTTCTGGCTCAACATGTCCACCTTGAAGTAAAACCAACACAGTCTTACTCTCAGTTCTGCCATTGATCACAAAATCAATCAGCACTGATACACTAAGGAGAAAAGATTCAGTTGTGCGTTGGTGTTTTTTATTTTTTAGTTTTTTTTGTGTTCGAAACCAGATGTGTGTAGCTTGAAGCGTTAGGATATAATAAAACACAAACCTCTATCAGCAGCAGCATTTGTGTGGATAAAGGAAACCTCTAAGTGTTTTGTTAAAGCACTGACTCACCTGCTTGTGGTGGTGATCGTAGGAGTTAATGTGGTTCTCGTACTGCTGGTGCCTCACATACTTCTTGTCACACAGCTCACAGTAAAACCTGGAGTCCCCCTCCTCCTACAAACAGAAACAGAGAAGAGGAAAATAAAGAAAGAGAAGTCAAGGTCTCAGTGTATTTTTTTCCCTCTGCAATGATGAACGAGTCAAATCATTACCAAGATCATCCTTTTGATGAGTTTTTACTGGAAAATAGTCAAAGTCTTTAGAATATATCCTTTCATTTTATCTCGTTATGTCAAAAAAAATCCAATTTACAACAAAAGTTTGAGATTTCTTTTACTCACACGATTTCATGGATGTGTACGAGATCGATGACAAAATGGGTTAGCTTGTAATATAATAAATATTTTCTGTTTGCTTAGATAAAAGGCATAAAATAAAAAAGCTAGCTAAAAATGTAATTTAAAATACACTTTTAGGTAGGTATTCTGCTGGGATGGGGCTAAGTTGGTTCCATGTGGATCTGTGATGCTGCTGCTGTGGGCCCTGGTTAGACGGGTTGGGTCTCCCTGCCCCGGGTGGGTTTTGGGAACCAGGATGCCTATTGAGCCGAGTGGGGGTGCTGGCTCCCTGGAAGGACTCAGGCCCCCCAGTATATCCTCCCCATTCTCAGACATTTCCCTACTCCTGCTCCATCACATCACCCCACACACACATGCACACAGACCTTTGGGGTGTGGGGTAAGTTCAGGGGTTGCCAGTATGGTTCCCATCTCTGCAGTCCTGTGGCGACCTGCGCCCAATTTTAATTAGTATATTAAACATTTCCACCAAAGTTATTCCTGTGCTGCCCCATTCCCTCCCAACCACTAAATGCACTCAAACAACACACATCAACACCACATTGGAGCAGGCAGAGGGACACTGGGGTCTTCTCACACCGTTTGCTACCCGGGGCTATAGAGGCTGAGTGGAAGCTGGTCGTCTGGTTGTGGTCTGGGGTGGTTTGTTGCTTTGCTCTGCATTGGGTGGGGATTAGGTGCTTGCTCATCATTAACCCAGTTAGAACTGGACCAGCTCTGGTTTCCAGGAATGATTGTACCCTCTGCACAGCAGTACCAGGACCAGAGAGAGTCGGGTATGTATGCAGTTTCCCTGGAGTCTCCATGCCTCAGGGGAGATCTTGATATATCTTGGGCTAGGATCTCCTCCATCTTTGGAGGCAGGTCTGTGGCCCCTCACACTCACTGTTGGACGCTCCCATAAAGAAACCTTATATACGCACTGGTGCCCACAGAGTGCTCTCACAAGTATGGACTCGGGCATTTTTGACACAAGGTTATTGAGGGACAGCAGTAGCTCAGAAGGTAGAGTGATTTGTCCAGCCATCGGAAGCTTGCAGGTTGAATCCGGGCTCCGACCAGAGAATGCTTCTGTTGTGTCTTTAAGCAAGACACTTAACCCACCTTACCGGCTGGTAGTGTTTGGAGGGTCCGGTGGCACCAGTGTTCAGCAGACCTCACTTCTGTCAGTGCGCCCCAGGGCAGCTGTGGCTACAATGTAGCTCATCGCCACCAGTGCATGAATGTGTGGATGACTGATTGTGTTGTGAAGCACCTTGGGGGTTATGGAACCCTGAAAAAGGCACTATAGAAATACAGGCCATTTACCATCTGTGGTTGGCACTAAATGCACTATGAATTATTACCGTGTGCTTTTCAGCAAACGTTTATGGGCGATAATGTTTCGTCCATATCTGCTTAACTAAATATCTCATTAACCAACCACTTGATGGATTTTAATAAACCCCTCAGAAAGAAATCATTGGGTGTGAAACCATTTAACTTTTAGAGGTGATTCAGTTCAAGATGGCTGCTCAAGAGCTTGTGATACTACAAGAGATTTTGCATAAGGCTGTTTGCAAGATTTGACCAAAGCATCTATAATTGCATCGTTTTCAACAAGGATTTCTATAATGTGTTCTAATCACAGAAAAGATTGTCACATGTTTATGTTTATTTATTTGGCAGACGCTTTTATCCAAAGCGACTTACAATTTATAACCTATAGGCCATGTTGTGATCTGTGAGGGAAACAGGAGTACCCGGAGGAAACCCACGCATGCATGGGGAGAACACACAACTCCACGCAGAAAGGCCACAGCCGAGTTTCGAACCTGCAACCTTCGTGCTGCGAGGCAACAGTGCTAACCACTGCACCACCATGCAGCCTATTAATGCCCACAATCTATAAAATGGTGGTAAAAATGTTTTAAAATTAGAGAAAGAGAGCTTTTTACTTGTGGATTGTACAATACACTACTCAGCTTACCCTAACCTCTGCAGACCAGGTGTGTTGAAGAAGAGAAAACTTATACACATATTCAAAGGTTAAAAAGCACCATTCAACCAAGTATGTTGGGTCCAGATGTGGTAGAACAGGTGTGTTGGAGCAGGAAAACAACGAATGCCCCTTTTCCTTGTTGAAAACAAATCAGTCTGGCTAAACTTGACTCAGCTCAAATTAGTGTGGGTTGCATTTTAAAGTCAAACTGAGAGACAGCTCTAGTGGTGCGCTTGTCAGATCACAAGTATGGGATGGTGGGGTTACCCACGGCACTCGTGATCTTTAACTACACCAAAGCAGACACTGGCAAGTTGGTGAAGAATACCGAACTGTGCTGTTTAAAAAGGCAGTCCAAACGAACTGAGTTACACTGAGTAGCACTGTTGGGAAAGAGGCATAAAGCATCCTGGACAGTGATCCTCCAGGACTTGGACTAGAGAGTCCTGCTTTACTGTATTTTTACACATTTTATGTCCTTTAGAATCACCTTCATTTTAAACAGTTAAAGCACTTAGGAGTCCCTGACTTAGACAAATGTTATTCAAATGAACAAAATATATAAATACAGTATAGATCAGCAAATATCCAAGAAGTCAAGAAGGTTGAGGTCATTAAAAGACAATAACCCTCTTAGACATCTAATATGTGGTTATAGTGACCAGTGGAGGAAGGGCTTTATAACTAAACAGCGTTGGTCACTCTGAAGCCAGGTGTATCTTTTTGATCGGTCTACATAGATTATTACCTTCATCTATAGTTTAAGAGCCAGTTCCTGGAAATGGAAATCTCTTTTTTTCAGTCAAACTGTAGTTTGATTTTTATTTTTATTAATTAGATTTGAGAAGGAAGAACAAAAGAGAGATACATCAAACAAAATGTGATCTTTCTGACAGTAACCAGACCTCTTGGGCCATTTATCAGTTATCTGGACTTTCTCTGAAACCCCAGAAGAAAACGTGTGCAGCCATCAGAGGCAAAACCACCAAACAAGGGCTGGTGGCTCGAAGACTGAAGAAAGGACCATGCAGGCATGAAAGCAGCTCATTCAGGTTATGAAGTATGACCATTCAGATAAATCCTGAAAAATACCTCTCATATCTTGTTTGTGAAATTATAAATCATGACTTTGTCTCAGAGTTAGTCATAAAAGCAGAATGAAACCAGAACAGTGAAGGTGGGAGTGGTGAATTACATTCAGAGCCGACATGTGCAGTAAAATGTGTTTATGGGGATGAATATTCATCTCACTCAAGCTTTTAATTTGTTACCTGTCATATGGTGTGTGTGTGTGTGTGTGTGTGTGTGTGTGTGTGTGTGTGTGTGTGTGTGTGTGTGTGTGTGTGTGTGTGTGTGTGTGTGTGTGTGCATGTTTGTGTGCATCTCGTTGGCTTCCAATGGCTAATGGCTCTTTCAATCACAACTATTGATCAGTGTGTGACTTGATACACACATGGATACACACAAGCAAACAAAGGAAAATACATTTCTGTGACTTGCTTTGATTACAGCTAAGTGTAGGAAACATACCAAGACATTCATAGATGTCGTCATTCAGGGTTTCTTTTACACACACACACACACACACACACACACACACACACACACACACACACACACACACACACACACACACACACACACACACACACACACACACACACACACATACATTCTCTTAATGGAAGATTGATTCGTCTTTAAAAGTCAGTAAAGTTCAGTTTGTGGCGTGACCTTCAGTGTAGGTCTGGACTCGACTCAGTGTGCGTTAAAGCCCACATCCCACTGGGCTGCCACAAGTTTGAAAAACAATTATTGTTTGAAAATATGCCCAATTTTAACTTGGGAGTTACTCTAAATTGGGTTGAGAGAGTTTTTCATCTGGCTAGGCATGTCACGAAGCTAGAAACAAAGGCAAAAGTTTGTTTTTGTTACAATTTAGTCCAGAAGAGTCTCAAATAAATGTACAGAAAGTAAGAATTCTACTGTGAAATAAAACAGTCTAATGTCTAAATCTTGTTGGAAGGAAGGTTACATAGAAGCAGTTTTCATTCTCAGCCAGCTGGGGGTTTCAGTTTTCTCCACCCAAATAGCCAAATAGAGACATAGTAACAGTTAACAGCCAGTGAGTTTGTGAGGTTGTTGAGCTAACACTGCTGCACCGACATGTAATTCAACACCGACGGCCATTAAAAGTTCCAGAGTTTAAAAAAATAACAAAGCCAGGAGACATGAGCCATGCATAAATAATTTTTTGTACCTCTAAGAAACCACGGCATATTTTGGTTTTACTAATTGATATCAGGTGAAGAAGGCTAACATTAACAATGCTAACGGTGAATTAGAAGCAAATAGTTGACTTTAAAAATATCTCAAGTTCTATTTTCAATGACCAGCAAATGAATACTACAGTGAAATGTATGTGTGAAGTGAATAATGAGTCAATGGTGTCGTTCAGATCTATAACAGCAAGCTAACAGCAACACCGCAAATCTCTAATGCCAGAGATACGCTACCATAATGAATGTAGTAAGTGCTCCTACCATAAAACACATAAGAGTGCTAACATCAGATATGATGGTGTATTTATCTACTTATAAAATAGCTGTGTATGACTCATCTTTGCTAATCTGTAACTGGCTATAGCCACGAGACTCACAGAATAGCAGTGGGAAAGTGATGTTTGGCTTAGAAAAATGGACTGCACTAGCCAAATTTGACCACTGGGTGTCATTCTTACTTCATTCTTACATTTTGCACCTTTAAGTCTTAGT